GGGGTGTGGAGGTGAAAGAGATGGGGTTGGGTGGGGATGAGTAGGAGAAGGTGGTGCAAGGCCGGGTCGGGTGGGGCTGGAGGGGAGGCGTGGAGCCACTGCCGTTGGCGGTGGGTCAGATGAATGGAGAGAGGTGCAGCAGCCCGCATGCAACTCGTTGCGTGTCGCACAGGTGTGAAGCGACAGGGACTCCTGCGTGATTTTGCGCCGCGCCAGGCAGACATGCCGCCACCGGCGCGCCCCAAGGCGGGGGCGTCAGCTCGGGCGGCCGGTCGGGCAGCTGCCGCGCACCTTCCTCCAGCGCCAGCAGATCTGGTTCTGGTTGCGCTTGACCGCCACGTAGGTGTCCACACACTTGCAGAGGTCCTGGGGGATGGCAAAGGCAATCATGAAGGCACGAGAGCCGCACAGAAGAGTAGAGACAAGCTTTGTGCGGCGAGGGCGCATGAGAGGGCCGCAACTTGTGCCAGGAGAACACACGTCGGCCGATCTACTCCCCCAAGGCGCGCGCTGCGTTCGTCGCACCCTGGGCGCCCGCGTCAGGCGCCACGCCCCGCCCCATGGAATCCGCGCGCCCAACTGCACCAGGTCCGGGCCAGGCCGGGCCTGGCTGCCCCAGGCCCGGGCCAGGCCAATTCAGGGGGGCCCACCAGCTCAAAGTGCTGCAGCGACCCATCAGGTAGCACGACCTCCGCCTCGTCCACAATGGAAAAGTACTGCCGAGGGTTCCTGGGGTGGCAGTTGCAGAAGGGCAGTCGGGGCCCGGCGCTCGGTTGGGTCGAGTTCTGTCGTGAATAGATGCAAACGAACAGAGCCGTCTCCCGACAAGGTGGGAGCCGCCTCGCGCTCTCGCCGCGCCTTGACGGCTTACAGCCAACAAGGGAATTAGCAATATGCCGCCAGAGCCGGCGCCGCGGCCGCCAGCCAGCGGCCCTGTCACGCAGTCAACCCCTTGGCCCCCCCCCCTGGGCCGCGCCTGTAGTGCGTGGGGTTGGCGCCGCGCGATTTGTCGCCGCTCTGGCGGAAGCAGCTCTCACGGAAGAACAGGACCCCGCTCTCTGGCAGCTGCGGGCCAAGCAACAGCAGTGGGCGGCAGGGGGGCGCAAAGGCGGGGTGGTGTGCAGGCGTCAGTGAAGCAAGGCGGCGGCTTGAGTAAGCCTCGGCGGGCCAGCTGGGTGTGCCCAGCTGCGGCTGTTGTGACCGACCTTGGTTTGGCGTCGCTCACGGCCGGGCTGAAATGCCGGGGCGCAACCCCAGAGTGTTTTGCAGGTCCCTCTTGCGGTGGCTTCAACTCGCCAAAACCCTGCCGCGTGCCGCTGCGTCCCCCTCGTCGCGCAGGCGCGACCGACCGCGCGACCCTGTCCGTGCAGGCATCTGCTCGGCGGCCGCTCAGCACAACCATCGGCGGCGGCGGCGGGGACCCACCCAGGTCAGCGCGTTCTTGACCAGCTGCGACACCTCCTCATCACTCAGGTACATCAGCAGCCAGTTGCTGAACACCACGTCAAACTGGCGCGGCTCGCAGCGCAGCTGGGTGACGTCGGCGACGCGGAAGTCCACGTTGGGCAGGTGGCCGTTGCGGCGCCTGCGGCGGAGGTGAGGGGGGGTGGGAACGCGTCCAGGCCCGGCATCGTCGGGACGGGAAGCGGGGCGCATGCCATGCAGCCGGGGCGTCTCTCCAATGCACGAGCACAGCTACTGGCGACTTGCCGGCCGGCCGGATCGTGCAGCACACGTCACGAGGTGACCAGATCAGATCTTCAGATCTTCAGATCTTCAGATCACCAGATCGCACCTGTTCTCGTCGATGCTGACCTCCATGAAGTCGCAGGCCAGCACCGACGACGCCGTCTTGGCAATCTCGCCGGTGAAGCGCCCGATGCCCGCGCCCAGCTCCAGCACACGCTTGCCCTTGATGCTGCCCAAAGTGGACAACACCTGTGAACTCGAGGGTTGAGGGGGAGCGGGGGTTTGCCGTGCGCGCGGCGGCGCAGTGTTTGGATTGATTGCTGACCCGGTTTGGGCGGCGAACGTCGCCTCTGCTGCAACACTCGAGGTTTGCTTCTCACTGCATGCTCTGTGCCCTCCGTGCTGCTTCGATTCCTAGAGAGTCGGACGTGCCGAACACGGTCGGCCGCCATGGCGGGGCTTGCCGGCCCGCAGCATGCGTGCAGGAGCGGCCGCCGCGTCACGGCAGCGCATCGCAGCACCAGACGCACCTCGGGGCGCTCCATCTGATCAATTTCCGAGGCCTTGCTGTCGAGCATCATCGCCTCAACGGTAGGCTCCTGCAGGGGCGGGCACGGCAGCAGCTGATGGGGAAGGTCTGGGGCACAAGCCCAGGGCTGGCAACGCCCCTCCCATGCAGCGTGCACGTTGCGATGAGCGGCGCGTTGTCATAGGCCTGGGCCCAGCACGGCCAGCTGGTGTCCTTGCGCAAGCATGAGTGCAGCCTTCCCAAGGAACTCCTTTTATCCAAAAGATCGCGAGCTCGCGGGACGAGGCGATCACACCCGCACACTACCCGCCCACTGCTGGGCCGTCTGGCCAGCCGCGCAGGGCAGCATGAATCAGGATAGTAACGCTGATACATCTCCTGACCTTTGAATGCTCCAGCCAGTAGTTGAGCTGCACCTCCCGCTCCTGCACACCCACTTCCGCAGCGGCCGCCATCTCGCTCTAGGATTCAACAAATTATTCTCAGCAAAACTGACTACTGGAGACCGATCACGACAGACTGATCCACGGCATGGATGTCGTGGGTGCCTAAGTGCCAGGCTTGAACGTCTGCCGCCCTGCCGTTCCGAGTTTTGAGAAATGTTGTGAGGTGTCAAACGAACGCGCACCCAACGCTTTCGAAATTACTTGACATTCGTGCTGCATACTGCGTTGCAGACGCAGAGCACCAAATTCATTCGCTCGCCTGCTGAAGTCTCCTGCACCTGCCGCCGCTCAGCGCCGCTGCCGTCGCTGCGCCCCGCGCCCCGCGCTCCTCACCGGCCAGCGCCTCTCCGCTAGTCACTTGCACACCAGCACGAGGAATAGAAATAGCAGCAGCAGTAATAGCAGCAGCAGCAGCCAGCATGGCGCGACTACCAAACGTCCTCATTACTGGGACCCCAGGCACCGGCAAGACGACCACCAGTGAACAGGCGCGCCGCTGCATGCTCATCCAGCGCGGCCCTGGACAGGTTGCTGCAGCCTAGGCCTCATCAGCAGCAGTAGGGCTCCACACACATACCCGCCAGCTGCTGGGGCCCCTCTTAAACGCAGCGGCGGCCGCTGCAGGAGGCGGACAGCGCACGGGGTCCCTGGCGGCAGCAGCAATCCAACGAGCCAGCGAGCCAGCGCAGGCTTAAGCTGCCCTTGAGTGTCGCAGCTGCGCGTGGCAGCCGCGCCTGCTGGACAACCCCAGCGCTCGCGGCCGCCGCGTACGCTGGCACGACCCCTCCTCTTCAGCCGTGCTTGGCGGGGGGACCCTCCCCTGGCGCCAAGGCCGGCTGCGGCCGCGCGGCCGCCCCCCTAACCCCTCCTGCCCCCTGGCGCGCCTCCCCGTGCAGGTGGCGTCTGCTACCGGGCTGCGTCTCATCAGCGTGGGCGACTGGGTCAAGGAGAAGGAGCTGCACAGCGGGTGGGATGCCGAGCACGAGGCCTTCATCCTGGATGAAGACAAGGTAGGGCGCCCCCGAGGAGCGGCTGTCTCTGCCCCTATTGTGTGTCACACATTCATCTCTGTGTTTGTGTGAGTGTGTGTGTGTGTGTGTGTGTGCGCGCGCGCATGTGCATGCGAGCGTGTGCATATGAGTGTACACGCGTGCTTGCTGAGTGCAGGCACCGGAGTGGAGTTGGACGGGTGTGATGCGAAGCGCCAGGCTATTGCCGCGACATGGAGCTTTCCTTTGAGTGTGGGGCCCAGTGAGGCACAGTGTGCATCTCGTTGCCAGGGGTGGGGCCCGGCCCTGCCTTGGCACGGGCGCCCGCGCCCCCGCTACTCCCCTGCTGCGCTCCCCTTGCGGTGCGACGTCGCGCCCCGCACCCACCGCGCCGGCGCCGCAGGTGTGCGATGCAATGGAGGACGCCTTGTCAGCGGGGGGCAACGTGGTGGACTACCATTCTTGCGACTTTTTCCCGGAGAGGTGCGGCTGAGCGGCCGCTGGGGGCCTCACAACTTGGGGATGGGCCGCAGCGGCAACGGCGGCGGGGCAAGCGCAGCGGCAGCGTGTTGCCGTGGCCCAGTGGTTGGCGGGCTGGCCAGTAGGGGCGGGGGGCCGGGCGGCCGGCGGGGTGGGGGCCATCCTTTGCCAGCTGTCTTCTCATAGGTGGCCCGGGCTGCACCCACCCTGGAAGCCCTCAGCCCAGGGCTCCCTCGACACCCCGGCCCTGGTCAAACCTCCGCCCCAGGTGGTTTGACCTGGTGGTCGTGCTGCAGGCGGACAACACGGTGCTGTACGAGCGGCTGGAGAAGCGCGGCTACCCGCAGGCCAAGGTGCAGGAGAACGTGCAGTGCGAGATCATGATGGTGCTGCTGGAGGAGGCGCGCGACAGCTACCGGTGCGCGTTTGAATATTTGAAACAAGTGATCTCAAAGTTTGCTTTTGAATTTCTTGATTTTGCTTTGCAGTCTTACGCCGGGATGTTGAGTGCCCGCACGCAGAGGAAGGGCGCACCGGCGTCAGCGGGTGGGGCTGGCGCCTGGCAGGTTTGGATTGTGAACAGGATGCGGCGGGGGG